TATATTTTGGCATATAGCCAAATGATTTATGAACGCCCTTAGCAATAGATCAGTAAAAATCGTCGGTTAATCCAGAAGGAACGTACGCGTAGCTCCAAATAGACTGTTTGACGCCCGTAGAGTGGAAAAAATCTCGCTGAAAGCGCTAAGGGAAGCGCAGGCATCAAACGCCAAATCAAGCAAACAAAAAAAGAAAGAAAGTTGGGGCGAAAGGGCAGAATGCGGTGAAAATGACACGGCGAGTGGGCGTTATCAATCAGAATGACAGAAGATGTGGGAGCAACTGGCTCGGTCCAGTCGTTCATCAGTCTATGCCTTTTGGATTCGTTTGCGGCGCCAATCAGCCAAACACATCACCTCGAGCTCGTTCCAGACTTTTGCCTCTCGGCGGACGTCCGACGCACTCGACGCTGCCGGCTGACATTTTCCAACGTTTCCGTTGGATCGAATTCGGTCGCTGGTCAAACTTCCCGAGTGTTTGCGAAACGTAGATAGAGATAAAATATCGAATAAAACAGTCGGGCGTCGTTCTCTATAGAAGAGCTATTTAAATAGAGGGACGTATAATTATTATCTCTACTAGCGTATGCCATCAAGATAATTAAGAATGTGTATTACCAGTCCCATATGCAATAAGTATTCTGTATCACAAGACTCAATCTATTTTCTATGTAATCGCAATCACAATCGTAAAATTCGCGTTTTACTAGCTTTACTTTTTCAATGAACTTTATTTAAACTTCATTTAACTGTACTTAAATCTAGTTTTTATTCAAACCACTCGCATTATAACTTGAACTCGTAAAAATGGTTATAAAAATAAGAGCTTAATTGAAAAACGTAATAAATTACAATATTAATTATTAAGTAATTGCATAAATTATTATGGAGTAAAATTACTTTTACTTCTTATAAAATTATATTCAGTATGTGAATATTTTAAAGAACGATCCTGTATTTCAACTTTTTGAAAAAATCGTATGTATTTATAAGTATTTATATTCACGTTAAAACGACATTCCTGATTATACAAATTAACTAGATACATACTATAATTCTTAACTTCTCACTGAATTTCCACTCAATTTATAGACTCTGTCTAGTAATTTAATTCTAATTTAATTAAAAAACATTTAATGGTAAAAGAAATTATTATCGTTCACTAATAAATTTATTATTACATGGAAATGTGACAGTGAGGTATGTGAATCTATAAATATATATATATATATATATATATATATATATGATATAGTGAGTCTATAATACGATTAATCGGTCGTGTTCATCTATATTCATAATAAGACGTAATTGATAATCAGATTTACATAAAATAATAAGAAAACAAATATTTCGTTGCGAATGACCTCGGGCTAAAACGAAAGTTTGCCAACGTTTGGTTCAAACAAAAAAAAATCAATTTTGCATGTATTCATTGCCTAACGATAGTTCGGAATACTAGGTACATTGAAAATGCCTACGAACATTAAAAAGTTCCTTAGAAAAACGCTCACATTTTACTTCGTACAATAGAGTTTATCTTACGAGCATAGGTGGACTCGGCTTTGGATGCTAATCCTATATAAACTAGTACGAAACAGTTGTTTGCCATACGCAAACAAATTTTTAATTTATCCAGCTGAAATTTACTGGTAAAGTATGTAAGCCTGGAAATACCAGCTTCAAGTTGTTAAAATATTAGGTCTATATTATAATAAAAAGTCTTTAAACTTACAAATCATATATTTATATACGATTAAAGTGGTTTTCGGTTAATGTAGCTGTTAACTCTAAGAGAAACTATGTCTATTTATGTTAAGTTTAAGCGTATATTGGAAAATTTGATGTAGGCAATGAATAATAATTGTTGGTATGACTATGATTGAAAATTATATTCTTTAGTAATATTATAGAGAAAGTGTTATAGATAAAGTTTATAAGCCTATTATCTATTCATTAAATTGCAAAGTTACGTTTTCAGTGTTGCATAATTAAAAGTATATCACATTTCCTGCGAAGCTGAAAATTATTATTATTTATTACAAACACGAGAGCTAATAATTATTATAAAATTAATTAGTTTATATGAAGACAAGTTTAATGAAATATTTAATAAAGTATAGTACATTAAAGAATTAAGAATGCCTCGAGTCTGTAAGGTAAATTAAATTAAAAATTTTTAAATAGTAAATTAAACGTGACGCAAGTGCAACAGAAGCTAATTCTTCTACGTGAAAAAAACCTTGATGGACTATGTAATAAAGAAGTATTTGGAAGATTTATTTTAATAATATTGAAAGCAATCCAATTGATTTATAGGCTCAAAATACAAAAATATTAATTTGAAAAAGGAAATGCGAAACACATGTATGCAACATTAAGTAATAAAAATGAAAAATTTGAATAAAAAGAAAAAAGCTTGAAATACCTTAAGCTTAAGAGATTAGGATTTAATGATTTAAACATTAAGATCTTCGAATTAAATAACTTAGATTTGAAGACTGAAGGTTAAAAGTTTGAGGTTTAATGGTTTTGACTTTAGGAATTAAAATAAAAGACTTCGATTTAAAAGTTTCGTATAAAGGGATTGGTGTATCAGGGCTTGGGACATAAGGGTATGGAATTTAATGGATTACGAAACAATTCAATGTACTGATAGATAATCATCTGCGTTTGGTATATTTTATTAATGTTATAACGTATATATTGACATTACATTTAAATCTTAAAATACGTAGTTGGCAATTTATGAAAACCCGTTACTTATAAGGAAGCAAAAAAAATGTTATTTATTTGATTTCTATAATTAAAATGAAATATATTAAAATTTCAATTTAAGATTTAATATTTATTACACATCGAAAGTAAAGCATTGAAAGGATCTACGTGTACTAAACTTCAATATGCCATAGGCTATCCATTTGATATCTTCATCTGCTCAGACGAAAGACTGAATCATACTTCAACTTTCATGCAGAAGTATCTAATAAGTTTCTTACTTGTTTTTGATGAGTTTGGTTTTATAAGTTTCATGTAATTTTGTAATACTTGAACTCGTTAAATTTTCGAAAAAATGATTAGTGCACTCAAACTGCATTAAAAATTTTCAGTAATTTAGATCAAATTGCAGTATCTTAATGTGTAGCAATTCAGATAATATGGAACTGTATTTTGTTTTTTTTTGTTTTTTTTTTATTTTTTTTTTATTTTTTAATATAAATAAATATTATTATGGTATTGTTTTCTTATGCATATTATCGTATTCAAATTATAGATAACGAAAACTTTTATTAAAAATTATTGTATTTTATTCCTTTTCCTACGACCAAGCTTTTTATAATTATCATAAAAATTCAATATAAGCAGATGAAATATCTCTTTTTTCTTTATGAAAATATACATAAACAGAATTGCATAGATTATTTGTCTGATAAAATTATAAAATCCGTTTTGAATTTTTTTTTTCTTTTTTTTTAGCTACAGTTTTCTATGATGACATAAACAATTTATTATTATTCTATATATATATATATAAAGAATCCTTACAACGTTATAATTCTTTCGAAATATTTTAGTGAATATTTTTCATTGTATTCATATGAAAAATAAATTCTTAGATTTTTGTTTCATTCATCTAGATTATTACAATAATTTTATATTACATAATTGTTTAATTATAAATTTCATTATAAATTCATGGATATTAGAAAATATTTATTTTGCATTAAAAGTGAATAAGAAACGTGGATGCAAATAGATGTTATATATATACATACATATATATAATATAATAAATATAATAATAATAATAATTAAAAACGTTAAAACTTAGATTAATTTAGTAAATAAAATTGAAAATAATAACATTATAAATGAGTTTTATCATGAATCAACAGATTATTTTTTAAATATGTTTAAACTTTATACGATAATGTTTTACTAACACTATCTTCTGATAGTCCAGAAAATTTTCATGAATATGGAATAATTTGAAATTAATGTTTACATAATATACGGTTGAAAAATCAAATAATATTAAGTAATTAACTTAATTGGTTTCATTTTATCTTTTAAATATTTATTTGAAACATCATATGGCTTGCGCATGATTAAATTATTGATAAATTTCAACTAAAAACTTCACTTAAAAAAATTATAATTTATGTTGAGAATTATTATTTAAATCAAAAAAGGTAAGTTTTGAATCGATTGTACTACATTAACATTTTAATTTATTCCTTTTAAAATACAAAACTACTTTATTAAGTATGGAAAACTTTCCTATCATATATACTATATCTTATACAATTATTAATACCGAGATATATTATTTAGTTGTAAAATGAATTTATGATTGAAAAAAAAGTACTCTAAATATGCTTCATATTTAATTGATGTCATTAAATTGGCATGAATAAATAAATCTATCAAATACCATTTGCATGGATTAATTTGACACTTTACACTCGATGAAAGCTACTTAACTTTCACTCTGCCCAAATAAAAAGTCAAAATTCCTGTAAAATTTGAATGAAAAAAGAATGATGATGTGATTTTCAAGTGAAACGAATGAATAGATGCAATGAATGAACGAAAATTGGTGTGTTTGTATATAAAGAATCAGCGCGGGGAAACCTTAATCGTGAAATGAAAAATTCATCCTTCCGAACATTGCGCGACATTGTCGGGCGTAATTTTCGCGGTGCGCAGTATTCAGTACTTTCAAAAACAATGTGACGACAGGCGAAATCACCCGAAAAACTAAAAGCTCTTGGAGATGTCAAAGGCGTCCATGAACACACGTATTTCGAAAAGCTTACAGAGGCTTGGCCGAGTTTCTGTTGTCACGCTCGAAATTGCTCTTGCGAGCGCGTAATTTTTCTTTGTTTCTTCTTTTTCCTTCCTTTCTCGCATTTCGCATCAAGGTATTTCCAGAGATGCCGTGAAAGGCTTATAAGTAGATTATGTTTTTAGTTTATGTTCAAGAATAATGTACTTACTTTTCCATCTGGGCTGCATACTTTTATCCCAGCGAGCGAGACTGTTAGAAGGACGGATGTGGACCGATTGTTGTACTGTAATAAAGAAAGAAATTTCTTTTACATATATGTTTATATTTAGATAATTGGAGTGTGCAGAATTTTATTTGATAATATATAGAGTATAGCTGATAATACAGAGGAGGCAAGAACTTGAATAAACGATTATGTTCACTAGACACATGAGAACGCAATTGAAATAAAGGATGAGTAAATTATTTTGCCAAGTTTTATAATTATTAACTTGTTTCAATGCCACGCACAAAGCAAAAACCTTAAAAGGATATTTGACTGCGGATATTTTATGTAAACGTATTTGAATGTAATTAGAAGACGAACATTTTGAAAATCAACAACAACTAGAAGATAAATAATTTTATATTTATCTTTCTCGTAATATCATGCATCGGTTAGCGAGAATTAATTTTATATATAACTCTAACGAGGATTTCGATAAATGCCTCGACGGAATGAAAATAAAAATTACGGTATTTTTTAAAGTGGAAAAAAGAGGTGATTAAAACAATTTTCGATTAACGGTATGCGAGTGTAGTGAAAAAAATTGTACCGCTAAATTAAATGTAAATAACTAGCATACAAAAAAAGCATATTTATATTAAATAGAATATAAATTTATCCCTTTAAATTTTATCCGTAATATTTTCTATGTCTTATCGTGATGTCTTATCGTTCGACTATTATTTGTTACTAAAGTATGTGCACTCAAAGTATTTATCATCATCAAGAAGTTGAGGACCACGCTGGGTCATTTTTTCTTTCTTTCTTTCTTTCTTTTTCCTTTATTATTTATATTTAACAATATTATTTTAAATCATCATTACTTTATCATCATCGATTATCTAATTACTATGAATTATATATATAAAGCTCTAAGTCAGCATTATTATTATTTAAAGGTAACGAACTTTACTTTTCTCCGCAGCCTCCACCTCCGATGGACCCCCCCCCCTCCAGGATCGACTATTATTCCCCATTGAGTACGCAATAGCTAATAAATAAATATTATTTACATGTAAAGGTCAAAACCCCTGTCCAGGTGTCCTTTACGGGCATTAACAAGCGCCAACCTCATTATTAAACGCCATGGAATAAAAGCTAACGGGCCTTGAGACGCTGAACGCGTTCACATTAAATTAATATTAATAATGCAAAAGTATCGGAGGCTCCGTTCATTTGACTTCCTTCCAAAACGGCCAATCGGCTTGCTTACGATCATAATAAGAAAGCACCCTGACCCGGCCTCGCTCCATTGTCTTCATTCTCGCAGGGCCGTAACGGGGCCATTTAATAACGCAGGCATGTACGCCCTGAGGGCCATCGCGCATAATCTCGCCATATTGGGCGGCCATTATCACTTCTCGCCCAGGGCGCGGACCTCGCGGTGGCAAAGGTAACGGCCGACTCGCCGGCTCAGTGGGCTTCCTCCTTAATTACATTGCGCGGCTCCTTTGCGAATTTTTAAGGATAGCCACTTCCACGTGCATGGGTTTTCGCTAGCGTGTGTATGCCACTTGGCGTGCGTTAAGCACGCGATCTCGCGTTAAAACGGCAGCCGCCTGTCTTTCCCATCGTGGCAATTAAATGTTTGCGTTCGCCTCGTTGGGGGAATTTCTTTTATTAAAATTCCTTGGACACGGTTTGCATAATTCGAGGCGACGGGAGGAGAGAGTTTTTGAAATGGTCGCCGAGTCAGCCGGGGCGAGCGGGTATCGCGCCGAGTCTTGGACTAAAATTTTTAAATAAATTCGCCTGTGAAATTTCGGAGAGCAAGCAGCCCGATGAGGGGATTTTTCTAGCGGCAATTTAATCCGGCACTTCGACTGTTCACGTTAGAACGCGGCAAATATATATATATATATATATTCATCGGCTGTGCTTACGATGAATTTTCTCCAGATAATCCGCCTGATAGTTTCAGTATTTTACCTCAGTTACAGGGGAAAGAAGTATTATTTTTATCCGATTTTTATCGCACCCGTGATTATTAATATTCGAAACGTCTATCTCCGGAATGCCAAATGGAGGTTGCATTTTTTTTTTTTTTTTTTTTTTATACTACTGATGTATATTTAAATTCGTTGATTACCTACTAATTCTAATTCTCTTAGTGCGTGTTATTTAATCATTACCCAATTTTAGGTAAGTTAAATAAAATGTATGGAATATTTCATGCAAAAACTTGAAATAAAATATTTCAATTTTTATGTAGAAATATTGTATACTTTATTGGGATATAAGTATTTTTATCTACTATGAGTTTTCATTTGAAATTTCATATTCTATATTAGTTCCTAAAATTTAAGAAAAAGTTTTGTTTTCATTTGTCTTTGACGAATCAAATACTAATTTTTTTTTTTTTTTTTATTTCTGAGAAAATGTGCTAATTCAAAGGCAAAGGCTGCTGCTCGCACTCTACATACATAGTTATCGCCGTGTGAATGAATGCTCCAATAAAAGCGCATAACTCGTATGAAAAAAAAGAAAAAACAAAAAAAACTACTGCAGTATTAAAAAATTATAAGATCCAGTATCCAGTAAGTGTAAGTAGGTGATGAAATTAATTTTTCTGGCGACTCGGCCATCAACAATCGGTAAACGAAAGTCCAGCTTACTTAACGGATGAATTAACCGGGCAAAGAAAGAAAACGACCAAAGCGCCCTTTCCTACATAAAAACTAGACGTAACGCGAGTT